TGCCACGAGGGTCGACACGTCAGCGGCCGCCAAACCAGCGGTGAAGACGTCACGCGCATCGGCAAATCTCTCGCCGTCCTGCAGCTGCTCTCCCTCCGTCAACGCATCCGTCACTTGCTGCGGTGCGTCGACGACCGGCTGGTCTGTCGAGCACAGCTGCGTCATGGCGTCCGTCATGAGTGCCGCGATCGCTCCTTTCGATGGCAGATCGACGTCTTGGTCATCATCGTTGTAAGCTGCACCGGTGAGCTGCGCGATGAGGGGCTTGTAGACAATCTCAGCAGTGTGCTGGAGGATGGCATACTTGGTGCCTGGCTCGATGGAGTGTGGGGGCGGGAGGATGCGGAGGGCGGTGGTGACGTCGATGAAGGCAGCGAGGTAGCTGTCGAGCACAATCAGGCACTGGGAGCGGCGAATGAGCAGCTCAGCAATGGTCTCACGCTCCATGCGGATGCCCTGACACCATAAAGAGAGACAACAGCAGGAAGCCGTGTACATCGACGGCTCAGACGTGACAGTTATTGTGTGTGTGGGCCACCTTGAGATACGAGCGGTAGGCGTCGAGATACTTGTCGGCCTTGAACAGAGCATTGCCAGCGCTCTTCCATCTCTCGGCAGTGGACGGCACAGACGCAGAGGCAGATGAGCTCGCAGCAGCAGAGGCCGGAGGAGCAGCACTCCTGCGAAGAGAAAAGCAGCCACAGACAGCGATATAAGACGTCAGAATGATGGTGGCGCTGTGCATCACGTCGATCGAGTGTGTCTGGCACACGTGTCGGCATTTGACGAAGAGGGCTGCTGAGGACCTTTATCGAGCTGAGCTGACGACGGACTGCATACACCACAGACAGAGCACGTTATACGACGTTCGTTCATGAGCCCCCACCGTCGTCTTCCTCACCTGGCGGATGCAGCATTGGACGACCGTCTCTCTGAGCGCATCTCTCGCTGCGCGTCAATCACGAGGCTCCGGAGGAAGCGCTGATGAGGGCCGGCTGTGGGCATCTGGTCGATGGAAGCGCCATGCTCTAGCAGCACGCGGACGACGCGCCTCTGCCGTCTGATGGCTTCTTCCGGCGCCCCATCACTAAGCTGCTTACTGAGCAGGGTCCCAGCTGCCATCAGCAGAGACCGCCCGTTGGCCTGCGTCGATCCCAGACGCTCACACAGCCACTCCACCACTACCGGCGTGGCATTTAATGCCGCGCACTGAAGTGGCGTCATACCGTCCTCGTTGACCGCATTGAGGTCAGCACCGAAGTCGACCACCAGCTTCAGATATCGGCGCACAAATCTAGCCGACAGCATCGTTGCGGCCTCGTCACTCAGGGCCATGCTGTGCAGAACAGTCCCATGACCCTGAAGCTGCTCGCCATGCCTCCCGGTGCGGTAGGACAGGATCCGCTCTGTCGCCAGTGTCCGGTCGTGTGTGAGCATGCGGTGGTAGACATCGAGCAGGGCGTCCTCGTACTCGCGACTCGGCTCGTCTGGGAAGGCGCCTGGGAGCACCAGCGCACCAACGCCTCTATGCGCACCATGGCGGATCAGCACCTCAGCTGCTGCCACATTGGCATATGCAGTGGCGACTCTGATGGGCCGGACGGGGGGCGTAACACGGATGTGGTCCAATGTCTCGTTCACATCTGCTCCAGCTTCGATGAGGGCCTCGAGCACGGCTGCTTGGAGCTCGCGAGAGGGCCACCGAGGGAGGTGAAGCGTGTGCACAGCAGACTGGAGTTCGCCTCGGCGGCTGCCGAATCGCCAAAAAGGCACAGCGCTGTTGGTTGGGTCGTCAATGGCGTAGAAGAGCACCGGCACCGCCGAGAGTGGTCCCGCACCAATCACCCTCAGCGCGACTCCCACTGTGGCATCAGCCTCATCGTCACCTTCACCGCCACCTCCACACAGACGAGTGACATCACCAGCCGAATTGAAGGTCCGACACATGACTCCACACACGAGTTGTCGGCTGCGAGTGAGGCCTCGGCTGTCACACTCCAGCGCCATGACGGCGAGCCCCTGCGGCTCCAGCAGCTCCCTCAAACCGCTCTCGCATGGAAGCTCCTCCCCCCACTGCGCAGGCGCAGACGAAAAACACACACACGTAAGGTGGGATGCAATCACTCGCGCACATTTTCCAGCTGTTTCCTTTCGCTCCGCACCTGACTAGCCATCAGTTCTGACGTGCGTCAAGAACCTCGCCAAACACTGTAGCCAGAAACAACGAGTCGCGTATCAAAGCAACGGAGGCCTTTTCCGCTGTCACCTGCTAGACGACGGCGATAAGACTGCTAGCGGGCGTGAAGAGGCAGCCGCCACCCGACGTCCTCCAGATAAGTCAGACGTCGACAACAACTGCACACCAGAGAGACAAAGACAGAGAGTTCTTCCGCAGGTATCGCCTTTTCTCCTTGGTGTTGCCTTCGGTGCAGTGGCTGACCTGTGTAAGCCGTCCTAGAAGCCCTCGAGGTCACGGCTTCGCCTCAGATCTACCACAAATTCGGCGTCAGAGTTGGTTCTACGACAATCACAGATCAAAGATACCTTCACTGCCAACGAGCAACCTGGTAGCGAAAGCGCCGAGGCTGAGCCGTTCGACGAACGCGAGCTTTTCTGCCGATCGGAATGCCGACAAAACCGCGTGCATGAGACTAGGGATGGGCCTGCGGTTCGCATTCGCTGCACCACGACGTGACGGCGTTGAAAAATGAGGAATAGATCTATCAGCTGACGACGGAACAACGCAGTGGTGCATGCCCGCTGTGACTTTCATAGTAGGTTTCTGTCTTGGTTCATGGGTGCGTCAGTGATCGCACCTTCTTTTCCATGCTGGTGTTCCCATCCAATCTCTGGCAGGGGGAAGGCATTCTTCGATTCGATTCGTATGCAACGTCCGCACACCACAACGAGTCACACGTCCATCCACTCGCACAAACACAGAGGGAGAGAGCAAAAGAGAGAAAAGGCAGTCGATATTCTCTCTGCTGGCAACAAACAGGAGAGAGTGGAAGGGGCAGAAGTCGCCTCACTCAGCCAGTCGTCCACCCCATCGTCTGTGTCTGTCTACGTCCATCTGCCCACTACAGCGAACGTCTCGCACGATGTCGGCAAATCCTACAGGGAAACAAACGTACACACACACATGAAAGCCGACGTGTGTGTGGTCTGCACAGACGTGGGATGTCTGTCTGCCTGACTGCGTCTTCAAGTGGAGCGAAGAGAAGACAGGCATCTCATGTGTGTGGATGGATGGATGTGGAGGCCCATCGATACAAAAAATGGCGAGAGAGAGAGAGAGAGAGAGACAGCCATCCACCCAGCCATCCGGGTGTCATCGGCACAATGGAGGACCCAGAAGAAGGAATGGAGGACCCAGAAGAAGGTCATCCACACATCCATCCACATCCACCCCTCCATATGACACTGACTGCTCAGACATAACACAGGCAGTGAGAGCCAAAAGGGGCTCGTGTGTGTGTGTGTGTGTGTGTGTCAGTGCGTCGGGGTCACCACACACGCACGCACGCAGGGAGGCAGGCAGCAAGGTGGGCCGGTCAAAAACCACGCACATCCATCTGATGGCGGGCACTCAGGCAAACAAGTGCACAAACAGGGCAATGTGGATGCAGCGGGCGGCAGTGAATGACCTCCATCCATCCATCCATCCATTGCCCTCCCCATCCCAGCTTTGTTGTATAGCTAGCGAAGCCTTTTGGTGCAGACCAAGGGCCACACATACCGATATATACAGATACCCATAGGACAAATACACACACACATGGATGAATGGAACACAAGAGGAGACAGAATCGATGAGGAAGAACATACGGTACTCTACGTCAGGCCATCTTGGTGCCTGGCTGGCTTCGCCCCTCCTTCCATACAGTGAGATGCTGCCGTTCAGGCAAGCCGCCACTTGGACAGAGAGGGAGAGGGAGAGAGAGGGAGCCATCGCTCGACTCTGTGCCGGCCACAAGAAAAAGCAAGGGGCTTACAAGCATCGTGTGTCCCTCCAGCCGATAGATCTATAGCTAGATAAAGAGAGAGATATGCAAGTGTACACACACACGTGTTCGTCGGTTGGCCCGTCACGACACCTTCAGCGGCGCCCCGGCTTGCTTGCCATGTGATCGTTGTTGAGCCGCATCCATGAGGCTCAGACGAGGCACACATGGCGGGCCAGCGCGCGACGGATGAGTCAGTCAGTGACGTCAGACACAGCTGTACACACCAATGAGTACGAACACTTGACGCACACGAACACCACGCACACACTCACACTCACACACACGCACGCACTCCCCTGCCCTGCCCGATCCGAGGGCGAGAAAGGAAGGCACCTCTCACACACATCCACACATACGTCCATCCATCCATCGATCCACGAGTGCATGGTGCGGTGGCAGTGTTTGTGTGTGCGATAGAGGCGAGCTGTGCCCGTCTGTCTGTCAGTCTGTCAGTCTGTCTGTCTGTCTGTCTGTTTGTCTGTCAACCATCATCTACTCGACGACAAGCGCGGGCAGAGGATGTGGAACGCCTCGGCCGTCCCGAAGATGACCTCACAGGACTTTTTGATTTCGGTCAGCGCCTCCTCCCGGTCGCTGGCCGAAATCAAAAGGTCCTGTGGAGAGGAGAGTACTACTGCCAGCTGGCCGATGTCATGGATATCGTAGGATAGCAGTGCACGAGAGGTGGCGACCGACTCGCGAGTCGCCGCCACCGCCTCCGTCACTCGCCCCGCCGCGAACAGACAGGGCGACCGATATGCCAGCAGCTTCGCGACCAAGATGGTGCGGACATTCAGGCGGCGCACTTGCTGCAGCATCTCGTCCACCTCACGCAAGGTCTCCTCTCCTGGGTCGGGCTTCTCCTGCATCATCTGCAGCCGCTTCTCCACCTGCTCGATGACCTTCACCGTAAGTGGGCTGTAGGGGTTGGGCGAATCGGGAAGGTCGAAGCGCCTCGCCAGCAACCTCTCGGCAGCCAGGGTGGTGAAGAGTGGGTCCCAGTAGGAGACGGTGACCTCGTTGCCGCGGGCGATCGGCCGGACAGCACGGACGACAATCAAATCCCCCTCCTCGAGGATATACCTGCGCGCATCAGGCAGCACAAATGAGCCTGAGCCGTCTCGACAGTGCCATTCGCGTGGGCCTGGGGCTTACCAGATGGCATTGCGGCTCAGTCCGCCGTGGCTCAATAGCGATGCCAACGGCCACACACCCCCTGCATAGCAAAGTCATTTCAAACACAGTCCTCTGTCGGCAGCTCTCATTGTTTGTTTCTCACTTGACGCTTTCAGACAGGCGACACCCATGCCTCGCAGGGAATTCTCGGCGCCGATGTCATAAGCAATGTGGGTCTTGAAGTCCAGTAATCGGCGGAGGTGGTCAGGGGCGCTGTCGATCTGTGTCACGGGAGGACCGAACTCCTCCCCGGTGGCCGACCATATGAACCGCGGCACCAGGGGAAAGTAGGCTGGAGGCAGCTCTAGACATGTCTCGGGGGCTGGAGGCCCCCCTATGGCGGACGGCTGTCCCCTGCTGGGCGGCAGACAGCACAGCTGAGAGACCAGCCGAGGGTGCCAAACGTCACACTGCGAGGCCAGCCGTGCCACCAGCCGCTCGTCGAATCGCCCACTGTCTTGCGACGATGCCCGCTCCACCACGACGGGCCTCTGGACAATAAGGAGCTGCCCCGGCTGGACATCCTGTGTGGCGACGACGCTCGGCTGGCTGTCGGGGGCGGGGGGACTGAAACCGACTGGCCCGACGTACTCGCCAACGTCGATGAGCGTGGTCCTGCCGAGCTGTCTGTTCTGCGCACTGCCCATTGCTTGTCGGTAGATGGCCGCCCAGTCATAGTCGCCCCGAGCGTTGGCCGCGTGGGTGCGGATGCGCCGCTGCAGCGTGGTGACATCTGCCGCCATCTGACCCTCCAGACCCTGACGGACACACACACAGGGGTCATCTGACTCCCCTTTCTGTCTCATGAGTGTCCCATTGCCAGCTTACGTGATTGGTCAGCGCCTGGACGACGGCATCGGCAGCGTCGAACAGCCGCTCCGCCAGCAGCCCCTGGCCCAGCCGAATCAGCGTCTTCTGCTGGATGGCACTCAGCTGCTGGCAGGGCCCCTTTAGGCAGCTCAGATGAAATGCGGCGGCCGCACAGCCGACGGCGTCCGGCCCTCCCTCCTTGACGAGCTTCGGCTGGAGCAGACACGCAGCCGCATTGCTCAGCAGTGCCACCAGGGTCGACACGTCAGCGGCCGCCAGACCAGCGGTGAAGACGCCACGCGCATCGGCGTAGCTCTCGACACCCTGCAGCGCCGCGCCCTCCGTGAGCGCATCCGTCACTTGCTGCGGTGCCTGGACGACCGGCCGATCTGTCGAGCAGAGCTGCACCATGGCGTCCGTCATGAGTGCCGCGATCGCTCCTTTCGATGGCAGATCGACGTCCTGGTCATCATCGTTGTAAGCTGCACCGGTGAGCTGCGCGATGAGGGGCTTGTAGACAATCATGGCGATCTCCTGGAGGATGGCATACTTGGTGCCTGGCTCGATGGAGTGTGGGGGCAGGAGGATGCGCAGGGCGGCCGTGACGTCGATGAAGGCACTGAGGTAGCTCTCCAGCCCGATGAGGCACTGGGAGCGGCGAATGAGCAGCTCAGCGAGGTACTCACGCTCCGCTCGGATGCCCTGACACCACACAGACATCACAGCAGGAAGCCGTGTGCATCGACGGGGCAGATGTGACAGTTATTGTGTGCGTGGGCCACCTTGAGATACGAGCGGTAAGCGTCGAGATACTTGTCGGCCAAAAACAGAGCATTGCCAGTGCTCTTCCATCTCTCGGCAGTGGACGGCACAGACGCAGAGGCACTCGCAGCAGGTGCTGCAGCAGCAGCACTCCTGCAAACAGGAGAGCAGCCACAGACAGTGATATACGACGTCAGAATGATGGTGGCGCTGTCCATCGTCTCAATCGAGTGTGTACGGCTCACGTGTCGGCACTTGACGAAGAGGGCTGACGGGCGTCCTCGTCGATCGGAGCACCTGACCGGCTGCACACACCACGGCCATAGAGAGCAACCAGTGAGGCATTCGTCAGCCGCCAGTATGGATCTTGTCTACTTACCTTGTGGATGGAGCAGTGGAGGGCACTGACGGCCCACTCGGGTCAGAGCCACCCGCACCCTTCGCCGCAGACTGCTGCATCCCTTGCTGGATCTCCAGCACTAGGTTGCGCGCGTATTGCCAGCTGGAGTTGTCATTGGGCAGGAGGCCGATGTCCGCACCATATCGCAACAGCGTGCGGATGATCTGCCTCTGCCGGTCGATCTTCTCGGGTGGGGTTCCCTCTTCGCTGAGCTGCTCCGCGAGGCGATGCGCCGCCGCACCCAGTGCCGTCCTCACCAGAGCCTCAGCACTGTTGTCCTCGCTGTTGATCTCGTCGGGCCCGAGCCGCTGACACAGCCACTCGACCACTGGGGGGCCACCAAAGTACGCAGCCATTCTGAGGGGCGAGTTCCCATCATCGGTTCTGGCATCGAGGGAGGCACCATTGGCCGCCAGCAAGTCGAGATAGCCGCGCATGAAGGCTGCCGACAAGCCGGGCGGGGCCTGAGAGGCACGGTGCATGGCCGTGAACCCAGAGAAGCGGCCGCTCGCCAGTGTCGGTTCGTACTCGAACAGCCGACGATAGACTTCGAGCAGGGCTGTCTCGTATGCAGGCGTGGGATGTGACGGCGCTGCATTTCTGGGGACGAAGCTAATCGCCAGGGCCGAGGATATTCTTCTCGCCCCATCCGACGTCTTGACCAGCGGGGCACCATCCCCTTCATCCCGCACAGCCGCCCCACTCTCGAGCAGCACCTCGGTCGCCGTGACGTTGGCCATCATGTGGGCCACATTGAGGGGACGGAGGTATGGCGCGCCCTCATTCACGTCAGCACCGCACTTGACGAGCGCCTCCAGGACATCACGCTGCACTCGGCGAGAGGGCCAGGTGGGGAGCTTGAGGTGCTGGGTCACAGCCGACCAGAGGGCAGGATGGCTGTCGAACTCGTCGTCCACTGCGAGCCACAGCACACTCACACGGGCTGGCCGGAGGAGCTGGATCAGTTGCTTCCCTTCACCGTTCAGAACCGTCACTGGCTGCCTGCTGAATCTGATAGCTGTCTGGGCATCAGCCCCTCTCTCACGACACAGCCGCCATACCTCGCCACCTGTGAGGGTGCGGCACATGGTCCGACACAGCAGCTCTCGAGATCCATCGGTACTGGTGGCCGTGGGTGCCTCGCAATAGATGTCGAACCTCGCCAGAGAGAAACCTTGCTGCCCCAACAGACTCTCCACTTGCTCCAAATGAGAAGCGCCGACCCCATTCTGAGCCGCCTGATTATATGGACAGTGAATCGATCCCACATACACACTGAGTCTCATTCTTCGCAGATCGCGTACCCCCTTGCTGCCTCGTCGCTTCAGGTTTGTCGAGGCCCCAGCAGCGTCAGACGGACGTGTATCCCCGACTTGCGCACTGACAATAAGCGAAAACAATAAGGCAATTCCCCCGTTGTTTGTGATTGTGGCGTGTGATTGTGGCGCGTGGCTTACAGAAAGGGCCCGGCAGATGATGATGAGGATGCCATGGTGTCAACCAGAAGACTGAGAGTCAACAGGACACCATGGCCATGGCATTGCTGCCTCCCCGCGACTGTCTTCCACTGCGCACCTGTGTGCCCTGGTCGGTGACTCGGACGTCTCTCCATCCATCGCCTGAGACGGCATCCACATGCCGGCAGACTGCCTGTGCCGTCGGCTGCCTCGCCGACCCCCTGTGATGCCCTCATCTGCCAGCCGCCCAACGCCCCCTGCTGCCTCCGTCTCTTGTGGCTGGTTGCTACTGGTGGTGGTGGTGGTGGTGTTGATGGGCGTGTTCTTGCCCAGTGGACCATCGTGTGCTGAGGGCGGGAGGGGGGGCGGGGCGGCCGATGAGGATGATGAGGTGCTCGCGCACGCCGCAGCGCCAGACTGGCCAGAACAGACAGAAAGGCACACAAAGGAAGGATATGCAGCCGCTGCACAGCACGTGTCTATCGGTTCACCTGGCTGCTATGAGTGTCTGGGAGTGCGAGAAGACCGCCGCCCGCCGATGTGGACCGATTGGAGGCATCCTGAAGCAGACGGGCCCGAGTTTCGGCGGCCTCTTTGATGATGAGCCGCTGGTGCTCCGACAGGCCGCCCAGCAGGATGGCAAACATGCTGATGCACGCCTCGGTCACCTCCTCGAAGCCCACTGCCCCAGCCCACACGACGGGCAGGTCAGCCGAGCCGAATGCACCGTGAGGTTCCAGGCTAAGACCCACACGCTCGCTACCGGCGGAACCGCAGGTAGCCTGAGATGCCGCCCTCAGCTGCCGCAATGCGAAGCGCTCCTCGGGTTGGCGGGGACGAATAAGATCTGAGAGCTGTGTGTCAGTCTTGATGAGTGCCAGAGTGACGGTCAGTGCGGTGGTGAGAGGGACGGGGCGGTGGGGTTGGGGTGGTGCGTGGGGTAAAGCTACGCCGCGAGCAGCTCGCTCGTTGGCCACAGAATCTGTCACACACAGAGAAGAAAGACAGATGTACACGTGTGGACGTGCTGCCCTTCCCTTGCCCGCCTGCATGGCCGCCTGTTTGCATACCTGCGATTTGCCGCAAGAAGGCCTGCATCCTCTTGCCGGGGTCTATGGGGTCTGTCGGACGAACAAGCTCCGCCCACACAGGTGAGGCCACCAGGCCATCCACCACGGCCCGCCCAGCTGACAGTGCCGTCTGCAGTGCCGTGTCTGTCGCGGCAGCCGCCCACTGAGTGTGGTGCAGGCCGGTGATCTCGAAGACAAAGCCGATCGTGTCCATCGAACCACCAGGAAAGGACGCTTTCTTGACCACACTGACGTTGGTCGACTCGACCTTCTTGCTCTCCTTCTTGGCCATTGTCTTGGCTGTCTGTGCCGCCTGCTTGACTTCTGCCGAGAGCTGCTGCTGCTGCTGCTGCTGTGGGGCGGAGGGGGGAGGGCACTCGATGATGGACGGAAGGCAGCGGGGCGAGGGGGATGAGGAGGGAGGCCGTTGGGACATCTCTCGCTGTATGTCCGACACCAAGCTGCGTGCTTGCTGGGTCTCCAGCACTAGGTTGTGAGTGCGCATGTGGTCAGGGGACGCACCATGCTGAAGCAGCAGGCGGACGACCTGCTTCAGTCTGTCGATCTCGTCCGGGCGCTTCTCGTTCAGCATATAACTAAGGTGCACGCCCGCGAGTTCAATTGGCAAGAGATCCTGCCCATTTCTCTTGTTGATCTCCTCCCTCACAAGCCGCTCGCACAGCCACTCCACCGCACTCGGTGCACCCGCCATGACGGCGAAATCAAGGGGCGTGACGCTTTTTGCACCCTTGGCGGTGAGGGAGGCGCCGTGTTGGGCCAGCAGGTCTAGGTACGAGCGCATGAACTCCGACGGCAGTGACCGCGACGCCGCCATGTGCATGGGGGTGGCCCCGCTGTCCTTGAGCTGCTCAGTCGCCAGTGTCCGGTCGTGGTCGAACAGCCGGCGATAGACGTCGAGGAGGGAGCTGTAATACTGTGGGCCGGGGGATGGGGGAAGGGCACTTCGAGGCGGGAGGTAGCCCAGCTGCAGGCCGCGCACAGCCGCCTTAGCCTTGAGCAGCACCTCCACAGCCGTCGGGTTGGCGCAATCGCGTGCCCACGCGAGGGGTGCCAGGTTGCCGCGGTTCACGTCTGCCCCATTGGCGATGAGCGCCTCGAGCACCTTCCGCTGTGTCTCACGAGATGGCCAGGGAAAGAGGCGGAGCTCCTTGTCGTTCACATTCAAGACACATACAGGGCTGTCGACCCCGTCAATGGCGATGGTGAGCAAGCCGTAGGGCTCCACTTGATCGCCCTCTTTGGCCACGCTAATGTTCATGTCAGCATCAGCTCCTTTCTCATGGCAAAGCCTTGCGATTTGGGAGTCTGGCTCGGGTGCGCGGCACATGATGACGGACGCCAGCCGGCGGTTCGCGGGGCTGTTGCGCTCACTGCCATCCCTGCCGCTGATCGTGGTGAGAGAGAAGACCTGCAGACTGAGCGGGGCATCAAGTTGCCGCTCGTACGATCGCCCCTCGTCAGTCTGAATGGACAAAGCAAACAGACGAGGAAGAGATCTCCCCTTTTCCTTTTCCTCCTTCCCACTGACCTGGCTGGACGGCGGCATGCGATCTGCCGACGAATGAGAGGCGGCAGCCGCCATCTCACGCCCACCAAAGCCAATCAGTCACTCCAGCCATCCTACCATCCACCTGCACAACACAGATAGAGAGGGCTGTTTGTGCGTTGCTTTGCCTTTGTTTCCCCCTGCTTTGCATTCGGTCCGGTGGCTGACCTGTGTGAGGCCTCCCGCCTCCCTCGACGGCCGGGCTTCGCCTCTGGCCGGCTCTCCAGCGCTCGTCGATGAGTGAATCAACGCTGAAGGACCAGCAGCTACACCACAGCCGGACTCCAGGCCACCACAGCACTATACACTCCTCCAATCCTCCTTTCTGACTCACAAAGGTGCGAGCTTGAAAGAATTTCAGCTCGCACTGGATGCAGATCGGAAGACCACACACAGACAACAGTGCGTTGCTAGGCCGTGGCACGGAGAGATCACCGCCTTGTTTCAAAATTGCCTCGATGGCTTTGGCTCGGGCCTCTGTCGCTCTCCGAGGCGTCCGCCGGCCTGTGGCGGCATCGGCCTCGCAGTCGTGTGTGGGGTGGTCAGACGGCGGCAGGCGACACTACAACAAGCCGTTCAAGTCGTACTGGGAGTACAAGCCCATGGACAATAGGCCTTTGGAAACGGTAGGCTCGAGGAGTGATGGACACCTCACACACGCAGCCCGATGGATGCTCTCTGTGTGTTTGTCAATTGCCGTCCCGTGTGCTGTGTGTTGCTCAGTGGGAGGAGGTTGAGATGAATCGTCCGAGGAATCCTTCGGTCAACGAGGGCTACGCGCGGCCGACCAAGGCGCCCACGCAGTTTGAGCTCACTCGCGAACAGTTCCACCAATTCATGAGGGGTACGTCGGCGGATGGGTAGCGGCGGTCATGGCTCACCGTGTGCGTTGTGTGTGTGTGTGTGTGTGCAGGTACGCCCAAGGCGTTCAGTCCTCGTCTGAAGGGGAATCTGACGGCGATCGGTTTGGTCATGTTTATGGCTTTTGAGATGGCCTTCACCTTTTACCAAATGCGGCCCGACGACTTCGAGTGGGTCGAAGACGAACGGTGCGCACACCAGCTCACCTCCACACATACATGGATGGATGGATCGATGGATGGATGGACGCCATCGTGTATGTGTGTGCAGGAAGCGCCTCGAGGCCGCCCGCAAGAAGCTCGACCGCATTCTTGCGGAGCAGGCCAAGCAGCAGGCCGAGGCGAAAGCCGAACTGGAGAGCTCTGACGCGCCGCGGCTGCCGCTACGGGCGGCAGGTGACGACTGACGAACTGCCGGGAGGGGGGGGGTGTTTCGACAAGTGGCTGGCGGCGAGTGGGGTCGGGTTTTGCGATTGAGTGTGCCTCTTGGACGGACGGATGGGTGCACGGACGCCGATTTGAAGCGTCATTTATGTGTGTGCGCGTAGTAGCGATGCAGTCAGTGCTGCATCTGATGTGGCCGACGTGACCGTATTCGATTACCTCCAAATGACTTGAGCATTCATTCACTCATGAACAGTCAGCTAGTCTGCATACACGGGGGAATCCCCCTCCCTCCCTCCCTCCCTCATCCCACTACCGTCCCTCTGTTGATGACGTCATCCGCCAAGTCGAAGTGGCTCAGCACGGCACTCCAGCGGGGCATCGACTGCGGGAAGCGGTCGACCAGCGGCTGAGACCGGTCGCCAAGAGACCGCTCGGTCGTCCACAGATTGATATAGCCCCAGCTCTCCTCCAGAAATGCAGCGACCCTGTCGTTGGGCCGGAAGCCGCTCACAATCACACGACGACGATCTTCTGGGTTGGCATAATTGAGATTGCCGAAGTCGAAGCGGAAGTCCACAGCGATGCCCTGCTGCTCGCTGATGCCCTCTGTCAGCAGACGGCGATAGCGGGGGTCCCCACGGTCGATGTGTGCATTCAGCACATGCCTGTGGCCCACCCCCTCCTGATGGTGCCACCGCTCGAGCAGCGTGAGCACCAAGGACGAGGCGAATGAGCGGTAGAGGTAGTCGGCCCGGCGGGTAACGGGATCAGTTGTCTTGTAGCCGCTGCGATAGGGATAGTTGGCCGGCAGGTCACTCAACGGCAGCACACGGAACGACTCATTTCCGATCCGATAAGCATCGTTGTTGGCTCGCTGAAGCTGCAGGCTCGTCCCCTGGTAGGTGAGGCGGTGGCCGATGGTCTTGTAAACGGCCATGGCGAGGGGCAGCTGGTGGAGGGCTGCTGGGGTGGGCAGTGCATCAGCCGACAGCCGCAAGGGCAGAGTGGCAGTGGGTGTGAGCAGATAGATGGTGGCCAGCCGAATGAACCGCCCCATCCCCCGCCACTCGTCGCCACTGCCCTGCTCCAGCAGATAAACCACCTTCAAGCCGTCCTCCAGACCACCGACATCGAAGACCAGGACGTCGTCAAGCTCCAGACGACCAATGGCCTCCTCTATGCGCTGCTCGACGAGTGTCAGTGCGGTGCTGTCCTCGGCCTGCGGCAATCTGTGGATGCATTGACGGAGTCTGGCGCGTCTGGCGGGGTGGGGTGACATGGCCATGTCTGCCGCCCTGGTGATGGCAAGGTCGGGCAGAGAGGGGACTGCCGGAGGGGCGGCGGGGGGCCGGGGAGTGGTGGGGGGCATGTGATGCGACGACGACGCCTTCGGTGGGTGAGAGATCTGAATGAATCAAAAGAGGAAGGACATACAAACGAGGAAATGGCAATCAGTCAGTCAGACGAGTGCCATGGCAGGGCGGGATGCTCTGCTTACCTCAGCCAGACACCGTCACAGCAGAGAGGCGGGGGGAGTGAGCCGTGGTGAATGAGTGGCTCTGCAGACACACAGCACAAGCGTCATGCAGCACCTGCCAGACTGACTGACCCGCCACGAGGGATGCTTAGCTCGCACGGGGGGCCCGTCCTTTTTGTTTCGGAGGAACTTGAAGGGAGGACCCATACCGAAACACCATAATTGCATCCGGTGCTCAGATGAGAATACGGGTGAACGCTATGTCGGAGTGGACACGAAATGACACCCCGTCTTCTCATGTCTTTTCTGCGGGGATGCCGGCCGGTGTGTGCAGTACAAGTAGTTGATTTGTTCACTGACGATGTCGGCCGCCTGCTCCCAGTTTACTGAGAGGAAGAGTTGCTTGAAGAGTTATGTCTTCGACAGCACCAATCCTGCCACTACGGAGCTGGCGACCATGATTGCTTGCCGAACTCTAACTTCGACGGAGGATGTCGCTCGTCTCGTCGCGGCAGGAGCGGATAGCAAGGCGGACCTCTATATTATCTTCGGCTCTGACGACAAGAAGCTTGTCAACTTGCTGTCTTTGGCCATCGATAGTGAGAACTTCACCAATCCTGTCTTTTGGCATGATGACAAGCAGCTGAACCTCCCAATTTGGCCCTCTCGCGAGCTGCAACGGGTGGTGCTCGAGGCGCTCATCGCCTATGGAGCAGACGTGAATGGCGGCAGAGCTGAGCCCCATCCCCTTGTGGCGGCTGTCCTGTTTGCAAACATGACGGCTCTCGAGGTGTTGCTCAGCGCTGGGACGGCGACACGGGGGCTGCGACTAGCCAGGCTCCCACCTCTACCAGAACGCCGTCCAGGGATCACTCTACAAAAGCCGAGCCGACAGTACGAGACCGCTCTGCTGTCTGTATATCGCCGATTGATGGAGCATGACCCGGCACTCGCCCACGAACAGCTCAGTGACGGAATGCTCTCCATGCACTCGGCAGCTGCAGCGAATGCGTCGTTTCTACTCTCGCCAGAGTTCATAGGGGACTATCTGGACATACTGGCCGCTTACGGCGCGTCTCCCACCGCGAAGAGCGCCCAGGGATTCACGGCACTCCACTGCAACACGATTAAGGGTGCATCGTCTGTAGTAAGATGGCTGTGCGAAAAGCTGGGGCCTGAGGAGGTCGCGAAGGAGACATCAGAAGATGGTACTTTGGCAGCCGCCGGCGTTCATCTCAATGAGCTGCTGAGACAGAAGGCCTCTCCCAATGTGATCAACCGACACAAGCAGGCGATCCGTATTCTGCTTGCCCACGGTGCATCCATCGCATCACTCCCGACAGGCACACCAAAGGCGCACCACGTGCGTAGGCTGTTACAAGACATCCAAGAAGAGATGCAGCCGCCGGCGAGTGACGCAGCACAGCAACAATATCAAGGGGGGAGAGATGCGGTAACGACGATTCGGAAGACTTACCCGCAGCCCGCTCAGATGGAGGAGAAGATATCGTCTTCCTTGGAGAACTGTATCATTGTCCATCAAGGCCGGAACAGCCCGACCCTTCCCACGATTTTAGTCACTAGGGAACTCGCAATCAAGATCACAAATCGAAGCCTCACATCAGCCGACGACGTGGCGCGTCTCGTCGGAGGAGGGGCCGATGTTACAGCGGGTGTCAGTCTTCGTGTCGACTCTGAGTCGTCCTACGGACCCGTTAGTTTGCTCACTGCTGCCGTCAAAAATACCTACACGTCTGTTGATGTGTGGAGAGACGCGAGTGGGGAGATGATAGAAGAAGTGGTGAAGGACTTGAAGCTGCCTGCGTGGGAATCCCGTGAGACACAGCGGGCAGTCGTTGAGGCCCTGATCGCTGCTGGAGCTGACATCGACGGTGGATCGTTTGAGCATAGTGGGCCCATTCATGACGCCTGCCGGTATGCCAACGTGATGGTTGTTGATGCCTTGCTGACGGCTGGCGCGGCGACAGTCGGGATGCGCTTGGCTTCTCTCCCAGCATCTAATGAAGGCATTCCCTCCCAGCCGAGCCGTGAATACGAGGATGCTCTGCTAGACGTCTATCGCCGAGTGCTTAATTGTAACCCCTCCCTCGCCAGCGAGCAGGACGAGAACGGTGTCACTCCTATGCACAGCGCGGCGCTGGAGAGGGTGTCGCTTTCACTCTCATGCGACTTCATGCGCCTCTATCTGGACCTGTTAGCTGCGCACGGCGCCCCGCTTACCACGAGAAACGCACGGGGAGAAAGCCCACTTGACATCGCTGTGGCTGAGGGAACTCCGGATGTTGTCGAGTGGCTATGTGGCAAGCTGGGGCCTGAGGAAATCAACAGGAAGGATCCCACCGGGGCCAAATGGCCAATGTACACCGCGATCGGCAGCCTTTATATGGGGCTGAGAGACAAGGCCCCGCTCGAGGAGATAGACAGAGCCAAGCAAGTGATCCGCACGCTCCTGGAACATGGTGCATCAGTTGACACTTTCCCCACCAAGACGGCATTGCAGCGCCGCGTTCGCAGCTACGTCCTGGAGATCCAACAAGACATCTGCAAAGGGAGCCACACACAGCAGCAAGAGATTGAAGCTGTAACGGCCGCCAAGATCGCCGAGGAGCTCATAGCTGAGGAGGCGAAAGAGAAGGCCAAGAAGGCCAAAAAGGGCGGTGGGAAGGGCAGCAAGACCGGCAGCGGGACCCAGCCTGCATCTGCTCGGCGAGTTCCGGTGTGTGAGGGGGTTGGTCAAGACAAGGAGCTGTCGGTGCCGTCCGTATCATCAGACAGCAAGTCGGCAGGCATACTTACAAACGATGGCCTTACAAACGATGGCGAGACAGACGAGTGGCCGCTTCCCACTTCATCTGCCGATCCTCAAAGGTAAGCGCATGCACACACAGTGAAGACGCTCTATTGGCGTGGGTACTCTCTCTCGGTCTGTGCTGTCTGTCTGAAGCGTGTGCACTGGTGTCCCTTCATCATCGTGTAGTGTTGCATCTGCTGTGCCTGCCCCCGCCACTCCCATGGCCGAGGCCAGCGATGGCGAGTTCATACCCGTGGTCTGCAGAAAGAAGAACAAGAAGAAAGACAACAAACAGCAACGACAGCCGCTTGTCGCCACATGCCAGGAGCCGTACAACCAAAGACAGATACTCAAGTAATTTGAGGCCCATTGATGCTCTGGCTGGCCACTGTATGCGTCTTGTCTCCCCTCTGTGTTTTGCGCCATGCAGGACTGATGGTGTTGCCACCTCCTCGTCTGGCGGCACTGGCCTAGACACGCCCACGCCAGCACAATCGCGCAGACACCGGTACACACGCGCACAGATGGGCGTGTTCCCAGCTCGGCTGCCATCGTGTCCGTGTCATGTCTGCTTTAGCGGCCCACCGCCCCTCGTCCCGACGTATGTACGGCCGTCGGTCAGCCCTTCTGCATTGCCTCCCCGACCACAGCATGCCCCTCCCCCCGCACCTGCGCGTCCGCTCGGCCCATCTGCATTGGCCCGTCAAATGCAGTGTCCCCCTCCTGCGGCTCCTGTCAGCCCACTCGATTCATCTTTGCGTCATAATGCAGATCAGGCACCAACACCGACCACCCACAAGAACAGCGGCAGCAGCAGCCATGTGCCAGTGTCGCCCCCTGCTTTCTCGGCCTTGGCCTCTTCGGTCGCCTGTCAGCCATTCCCATCGGCTACTACCGGTTTGCCTCGATGCGGAACAGAGAGGGACACGATTGCCGCTCCTGCTGTTGCTGGTTCGGCGAGTGACAGCGAGCGTCTGGTGGACCAACTATGTCGGCAGCTTGAGAAGACACAGCTGGCTGCCAGACAGAGGGAAGAAAAGGCCAAAGAGGAAAAGGATGCGCTGATACGGCAGCTGCAAGAGACACAATGGAAGTGAGCCAATTGACGCACGTATCAAGCGGGCCTGTCGTACACGATGTCCATGTGTCTCATGCTGTTTTATGCAGGCTTGCTCAGGCGAAGACTCAACAGCAGATGGAGCAGCACAGCTCACCATCATCGGGCAGCGGCGCCCCTCTGGCCAGTGCAGCGGACGATGGCGAACATTTGAAGTGTGACGTGTGCATGGACAAGGACAAGAACACTCTACTCATCCCATGTGTAAGCACACCTGCACCCACAGAGATGCCCCCATGTCTCCGTTGATCGTGTGTGTGTGTGCAGCGTCATTTGTGTCTGTGTGGTGATTGTGCTGGTCGGCTGATGAGCGGCCCTTTGGCAAAGCGGCTGTGCCCGAGATGCCGACAGCCGATCACAGACACACAGGAGGTCTTCGTGTGAGTGAGCAGAGGGAGGGTTAGGCGAAAAGGAACATGACGGGTAGACAGTAGGAGAATAGCGATGCGGCATCGGACATGCTCTTGGCTGCTTTTGTGTCTGAGAGGTCTGCATATGAAGTTCTAAAGGATGGTCGCAAGGGAAAGGCAAGACATATGTCAGTGCCAATTCTGACAATCATCGATGGATCATCTCTCACTCGCCGTCTGGGAGCTGCCCCACCTCTCTCTTTGTGTGCACCCTCAAGGCAGCACCTCACGAGCAACACAGAATCCCGATCGCTTTCACCACAAGTGCGCTGCTTGTTCAGAGCCAATGCGACCCAAAAGGTCGGGCGGGCCAGAAAAACACACACAGCACACGCAAGCGGCCGCCACATGAATGGAAAGTACACACACGCACCCGGCCGGCCGGCCGGCATTATACACACACATAGCTCAAAAAAGAAAGAATCCATCTTCTCCCTCCTTGTTAGCCGTTAGCCACGATTGTCACCTTTACCCTGTCTGTCTGCCTGTCCATCTGCCCCGCCCTCAAAACAACCCAGCAATCACACTCCCCCCAGCACACACTCCCCCCCCACAAACACGCACACGTCCCTTCCTCCCTCCCTCCCTCCCTCCCTGCCTTTAGCCAGTGGTGATCCTCAAGAGCGGCACTGGTCGTGGAAGGATGATTGGCTCGGTGCGTACAAGTGTCAGCTTGCCGGTGGCCTTGTCGCGCAAGTAAGTGTTGTTCTGGACGTGGAAGCCGGTGACGAGCTGCCGGTGGACGACGGGCCGCTCTGCACGTCGAGTGGGCTCGGCAGCGGGCGGTTGGCGCGTGACGATGAGGGGACGGACGCTGCCTGGTTTGGCGGCCGGGGGCGTATTCCGTGCCAAAGTCGGGGCGACGGCGGTTGTGGGTGCGGGTGCGGGTGCGGGTGTCTGTGTGTGTGGGCCGGGGGCGGCACACAGCTGACGGCCTCCTCGGAAGATGGCGGCGATGGGCCGTGTGGGCCTGTGGGCGGCACTCATGTGAGGCGGCATTGGCGTGGCTGTGGGCACCTTAAGGTGGTGCGCGGGAGGGGGAGGGGGAGGGAAGTGAGAGGCATGTCCGTGATGGAGTGGCACGGCCAGCGGGTGGGCCATGAGGTGGTGGGCGGGCGGCTGGTGACTCGGAGGCGCCAGCAAGGCGAGAGCTGGTGGCGGGCTCGGGGTGCCGTGCTGCCGTCTCGTTTCTCCGACCTCAACACGCACATCCGCACTCAAATGGTGGCGGTCCTCCTCCGAGTCGAGGTCGGGCCAGTCGTCGTCGTCAGGGCTCAGCTCTAATGCAAACTGATGCAGAGCGTCACGCACCTGCACACAATCACACAATCACAATCACACAACGAGACATGGATGCACTGAGTGAAGTGCAGTGCAGTGCAGCGCAGCAGGGGCTGTGTGTGGGTGTGTGTGGCGCATGTACTCACTCCGTTGGCAGCGTCTCTCGGGAATGTCGCTGACTCGTCGTGGAACTGCTGGATGAGCTCGACCAGATCGTGGGGCACTGCTGCATCGCTGCAGCACCTCAGCAGAGTGCGCGTGGCGCACCACACATCACGGCCCATGTCCAGTACACGCGGACCCTGCCACACACACACACACACACACACACAAAACACAACACAACACCATAGTGAATCAGTGCATTGTCTCCATGTATGTGGACGCACTTACATCTTCCTGTGGCGCGACGACCTGCCCCAGTGGCTGTCCGGGTGGGCGGCCGTGGCGCCCCGCCGCTGGGTCTCTCCTCAGCCTGTCGAGGTCGATGAGGACCGGCTCGTATGCTCCGTCAGCCGACTGGCGCAGACCAATGTTACTCCCCTGCAGAGACAACCAACCAACCAACCAGCGGACACACAGCACATGACAGCATATGACATCACACGACATCACATCACATGTGTGTGGCTGATATACACACATTAACTACATAAGCGCGTCTGTCTGTGTCACACACAGTCTGTGCGTTGCTCTCCGTTGGCTCACTTACGTGTATGTCTCCGTGGACCAGCAAGTCGTCTTGGAGCTGCCCCAGAGCCGCACACAGGCCGTCGCCGATCTGCTTGAGCGCGAGCATGGCCTCGCGGGGCCGCCGGTGGGACAGGTCGACCTCCTGCAGCGTCACTGCATCATATCAACGCAGACACACACACAACACGCAGAGAGAGAGAGAGAGAGACGAGGATTGGTTTCGCCATGCACATGCAGGCAAGGGCAACTGACTTGCCTGCCTGCCTGCCTAACTGGCTCATCCATTCAGTTCATTGGCTGCTTACAGTCGATCCACTCCATGCGATAGGCCGTGAGGCGCTCGCCGTTGGGGCCGGGGATGTGGTAGACGTCGTGGACGTTGACGATGTTGCGGTGGGACCTGCCGTGTCGGCGGCAGCTGGCCAGCCACAGATCGTTGCCCGTGTGGACGTACTCGCCCGCCTGACACAGGACAGCACAAACAGAGAGACAGTGACAGAATCAACGAGGCTGCCCGCATGCGTACCGGCGTGGCGCAGTCGTGGCCTTCATGCAGTATCTTGACGGCCACTCGACGGCCGCCCTCGTCCGTCATCGCCACGACACTGCCGAACCGACCCACACGCACAGGCTCACGGCCGTCAAGCCGCAGACTGCACTCCCTCTCCAGCCAACCCTGGTCAGTCAAAAGACGCCGACACACTCAGGGAAGGGTCACTTCCGCATGTGCAGCTAACTGTGAGTGACTCACCGTGGCCACGGCTATGTCCCTCTCTCGCAGCTCTTCGGCGGCTTTGGCGTTGGCAGGGGCACCTCTGTCGGCCTGCATGACACCGTAACAGTCCATCAGCCCATCACGACGACACTGCACAGAATCAAACATATCAGTCAGCGAAACTCACCGTCATACTTGCCGTCATACGGGTGCAAGTCAGTCGTCAATCAGTCAGTCAGTTTCGTCTCGACCGCTCGGCTCGACCTGAGTGCAAGCTCAGCTCGCGCGACGCTTGTACATCGAGACTGGGAGACGGGACAGGCGTTTTTCTAAAAAGCAGAAAACCGCACGTCTGCTCCTTTTCATCCGCCATACATGTACTCTGCTCTCTGCGTCTTTCCGCCCTTCCTTCTCTCGCTCTCCCATCGCCTCCCTCCTTGTGCTGATGTCGGCCGCTCCTTTTCCGCCCATTCTCCTTGCCTTTGCAGCTGTGAGGCTGGCGGACGACAACATGGACCGACCACATGTTTCTCTCTGCAGCTCTGCAGGTGACGCCCCGACTATTACAAATCCAGGTGACGAAAGCCACACATAGTTGGGGAGGTTCCCGTTTTCACTCCTGTGCCGAAGGCGGCCTCGCCAGTGCTCGCCAACCCCAACACCCCAACCAGCTCGACACCTTCAGGAATGTAAAGGGATGGATGGATGGATGGATGGATGGGGACATGGAGACATTGTGTTGTATGTCTTTTGCAGGTGATACAGAGTGTCAGTGAGGCTTGG